CCCCCCCCCTCGCCACCTCTCATGCCCGCCGCTTACCATCAGTATGTTTTTGGGGGGTCCGGCCCGACTGCTTGGCTTTGCTTATTGTAACTCATTCGCTGTGCAGCAAAAAGAAGGGGGTGCATACAAGCAGTAGCCTTCAGGCAGGTCGATCATCTTTATTAAATGTTTGTTCTAATATTTCCTTTATAAAGTGTCATGTCATCTATATTATGTCAACGTATGCGTGCGGGTGCCGCCAGGACGATACACCGGTCGCCATACACTAGACCCATCACAACAGCGCCATTCACTCCCACAACACAGTTACAAACTCGTATACACAGCGCACCTGTTACGCTATCTATCGGTCGTCATGGTAACGTTATCGCTGACACCGTGACACGGAGCATTATAGATGCGTGGCGCGGCGTGGCGCGGCGCGGTGCGGTGCGGCGCGGCGTCGACGTCGCCGCCCTCGTTCAGATTATCAGGAGCATCGCGGCCCGCGGCTTCCTCCCTCCTCATCTCGCCATCGCCGTGACTGTCCCGTTGCGGGCGCCCCGGTGCGCGCCGGGCCGGGCCGGGTGGGGCCGGTGGCGATTCGTTAGCGGTGATTGTCGCGGCCTTCGGCGCCTCTGCGGCGCTGCGCTGCGCAGCCGGGGGGGCTGCTGCTGGCTGTATGGCGGCGGGGCGGCGGCCATTCGGGGTCGTGCTGTTTGGGGTTGAGGGGGGCGGCGAGTTGAGGCGGCCGCAGATTGGGCCCCACGCGTTGGCCCCCCGACGGCGTCGGCGTCCTCCTCGTCCCCCCTGGTGCCGGCCGTATTTAATTATTGCACACCCTGCTTCCCCCCACCACACGCGGCAGCGGCAGCGTTGGCGCGCGTGTGTGCGTGCGTGTTTACCACGCTATGTGTCACCCCGGTGATGTCCGCGCGCTCGTGTGTGTGTATGTGTGCGTGTGCGTGTCATATAGCGTGTGTATGTGTGCTGTCTGCTGAATGCAAAGAAGCGTTTACCTCTCCCCCGTTCCCCCCGTGTTGCCTGCCCCTCTCTGTCGCCCCCCTT